AAAAAAAAAAAAAAAAAAAAAACAGGGAAGACTTATCAAAAACTTATGGTTATGTTTGCGGTGCATTAGTGAACCAACGTGATAATATTTTAAGAAGTTTTTTTTAGCAATAATCGCTTAGCAATAACAATTATGAACAATAATTTTTTTCCAGAAAATCTACAAAGCATAATTATCAATGTAATGCTTAGGGTCTTAATTTACCATAGTGATTGAGTATATTTTTGTATAGTTTTTTTCTTTTTTTTTCTCCTTTCCATCTTCACTGCCTTCTCTTTTTTTATTTTTTTTTCTATATTACATTGTTTTCGTTTATTTTTTTGTTTGTAACAGTTGAACAATAACTTTTTTTCAGCTGTCTATAAATTTTTTTTTTTTGTTGAGTTATATCTAACAGATAGATGGTTTAAACTCTTTCAATGAACAATTTTAATCAAAATTTAGAAAAAAAAAAAAAAAAGTAAGCACGAACCAAAAGACAACTAAGCAGCAAAGATACTGTAGCCGACAAACTGTTGTTGCCGACCATTAATGTTGATAATTCAATTGCATCACTTTTCACAGCCAACAAAACAATAGTTTACAATTTGCACCTCTCCGTACTAAGAAAGTAATCTATCTGATTGACTTCTTTCTATCTTACTCAGCAGCATCAACAACAGCAGCAGCAGCAGCAGCATCACCATCATCATCATTATTTGATACGTAAAATAACTGATTTCAGGAGAAAGTTTTTATTTGGTTTTGAATGTAATGAAACACATCTGTTTCTGAACAACATTCAGATGTTCTGCACGGTTACGAAATGACAGTTTTAGGATACAAGCCAATGATGATATTTATTTTTAGTTGCAAGAAACATGGTCAATCTAGCACATGATTTTGTTCTTCAAATATAAAACAAGTCACACTTTTTTTTTGTTTCTTAAACTACAAAACTTTAGAGTTATATTAGCGATATAAGTTCCACCTGCTGTTACTTTTTTTAATTTCAAAATTTTTACTTCTGCTTGTGCGCTTGCTTCTACAACTTTATTTTTATTAAAAGAACTCAAATTAATGATAATAAAACTTACTTAAATGTTTAGAAACGTTTATGTTTAGTAATTTAAAATTATAAAGGCAGTGTTAAATAAATTTAAAGCATAAACACTAGAGGTTTACCAACATTTTACTAAACCTGTCTGAAAAACTGTTGCTGTACAAAACTGCTGCAGTATGTCTAAAATATCAAACTGTTGAACTGTATAATAATATGTGTTTAAGAAGATACAGTTATTTACAAACGAAAAAAAAAAAAAGAATTATTCAAATGAATTACAGTAACTTTTTTCTAAGAAAAGTCTTGTAAAAGAAGCTTTTTATAGTTTACAAATTTGTTGTTTCTTGATTGTTTTTACCAACAGGTGATAATAATTTGCACTTCCTATTGTAACTAATTATTGAAGCAATATCTGCAATTAACTGTCTCAAATAAAGATCAAGTTTTCACTATTATAAACGTTTAAAATGTGATCTAAAAATTGATAAATAATTTTGCTACTATCAGCAATTCAAAAAAAAAAAGAAAAATCAAATTTTTGATCTAGGTTTAACAGTTATACCAATTTTTCCTCGACAAATAACCAGTAACAGATTTTTGCGCATTTGAAGACCAAAGGAACGATAAGAAACAATGTTTGCCTATCAAATAAGTACAAAACAGCCTCAAAAACTTACTCCGTGTAAAAAAAAAATTTTTTTTTGCTTTGAAAAACCAATTATAGTTTAGAGGACGGAAGGTTTCAGAATAGTTAGGAAAAGGTATAAGGAATAACCAACCGGAAGCGGAGGAATTTGACTGAATTTGTTCGCAGAAATGCATCGCTGTCGAAATCATATTACTTTTGTTTTTTGCTGCAAGCCTTCTTTACTACTATGAGGTTCCAGAATCCCTTGCTGTTATCAAGTATCTGTAACAAGGTGAAAAATGAAGAGACTTAATTTAACAGTAATCAAGACATGTCCAAAGGAATAACCGCAATTTAAATACTTATGATATTTTGAATTGTAACTAACCCACAGATATGGTACCGCTAAAGATAATTTTTATCTTGTAAACTTTTGCACAGTAACTTAAATATGTTTGAAGCATAGAAATACAACAATTATACAGAGAACAGTTATGATACAAAAAACCAAAAAAAAACAAAAAACAAAAAACAAAAAGTCATCAAATAAAAGTGGAAAAGTAAAATCTTCTTCTCGATGATGTATCATTGAAACGAAACATTTGAAACAGCACCCTGACTGTGCATAAAGCAATACCACAACTGGCGACCATATGCAGATTTTAAAAAGTTATTTTCCTCCCCCAAACGGATAACAATTAATGTTTGGAAAGCAATAATTGGAAAACCATTAAATAGCCATTACTGCTGACAAATTACAATTACATTTGTGAAACAAAAGAATTGCAGAAGCGGTGAAGCAGCAGTACTGACTGCAACATTGAAGATGCTTCGGTGATCAAATGAAACATCAATGAAGATGTTTAAAGTTTTTTTTTTTTTTGTTTCTATTGTTTTCATTTCTTTCAGAAAATAATTTATTTATTTATTTTTTTATCATGCCAAAAAATTCAACGTATTTTATTCTGCTAAATGTCGTGATGTTAAGAAAAAAGCTTGTTCTGTCTTACAGACCGCTTTGAAAAGGATGACTGTAGCCCAGTGGACAAACAAAACAACGGAAAAAATTGTCTATAAAGAGATCAGAAAGTCATATATCAAACTACTGTAATGTGTTCAGCTTCTTTCTCAATCTTCTTTCCTTTTTTTTTTTGTTACGTTATTTGTTTTCTAATTGCTAATTTAAGGTAATAATATTTATTTAAAACACAAATAAAATGATTATTTTTTAATTTTAGATAAAATTTTAAAAACAAAACTTTGCAGAAATCTTTTAATTTGTAGGAAAAACATGTTGATAAATGAATAGACGTAACTTTCTTTCCTTTCGACAATCTTAAACATTGGCAAACAGACAGATTGCATTGAATGTGTACAAAAGTGTTTTTAAACCAAAAATCAAATTGTTCACATTTTAGCAAATGATTTATTGATAGATGCTATTTTCTTTGTAAAGTTTCGTGAAGTCACAAATTTTATTTTTGAAAACAATACAAGGTTTTAACCTAAACTTCTTATTTTCTATTTGATTGTCACAGATTCTTGGTTTACAATTGCTCTATCAATTTTTTTTTTTGTTTTTGTCGATAAAGATGAATAACATCCAAACTTCCAGAATAGCGATGTGTAGTTTTCCTCTTGACTAAAATTGATATAACATTTTTAGCATCTATATTAAAATATGCAAGTTGAAAATACTTTCTACTGCTAATTATTACTAACTGAACTTTATTAATTTTGCTAGGGTTTACTTATTCATTTGTTTGTTTATTAAGCACAAAAAAATCCACACTTTATACAAGCGTGACTATATCAGAATACAAGAATCTAAGTCTAAAACACAGCAGTGCTCTATTTTATTCGACTCCAGTAACAACGCCGTGCTCTGAAAGAATTAGATTTGCTCTAGCATTTTCGGTAGCACTTTAAAACTTTTTTGAATTATAAAATTACATTATGAAATTTACAAAACAGCTTCTGTAATGCACAAAGACTTAGTTTTATAAAGTCAAAAGCTGTAATTACAACTACCTACCGCATGTGTAAGATTATGTCATTTGATTTCTTTCCTTTTCGTTTTTTTTTTCGTTTTTTTGTCTTTTGAGGACTATTCCAGAATAGATTAGGAGATTTCAGATTACAATAAAAGAGCCAATTTTAGGCCTCTATTGTTTCATTAGTCTGACAACCACAGTTTATTGCAAAACATAATTTTTTTTTCTTGCACTGGATAGAAGTTGTACATGATAATCAGTAAATATTATCTCTTCAAGATGCGATCTTCAGAACAATCGATCTCATTAAACTTATAATTCTACTACCACAATAGAGTCAAATTTTTATTCTTAAATTCACTTCATTAGTTAGAAAAGAGTCACTTCATTTGAAAACTGTTATAACAGAATATATTTTTTTCTACCTGACAACAACTGATGAATTACATTTCATGCTTTCAATGCATTTTCTAGCACTTTTTTTAGTGGTAATATAAGTTTAAAAAAAATTGAACTTTTCTTTTAATTTGTCGTTCTATGCTATAATTATCGACTTGTTTTCATATCAGTTTGTACATTTCAAAAATATAAAAGCACAACAATGTTTGCGGTCGATTCAAGAATTATGTAGTTGAGTTTGCTGTATTTATTTTAGCTCTACAGATTTGCTTACAGCATAAAAGTAATAAGCAACTTAGACACAATGAAAAGATAGTCTGCAGTATAAAAAAACAACAAGTTGTAAAACTCTCTAAAATTTTCTCAAATGGTATTTTCTTATTTTCGATGGTATCAGCGATAATTTTAGTTCTGCATACCACTTCAGTCATGATTATAAAAAAATGATTCTTAAACTGATAGTTTTGCAAAAAAACAAACAGTCATTAACTAGCAAGACCAAGAAATAAATCAAAACTTTTATTAGCAAGTGCTTAAAAAAGTTAGAAAAATCACAAAAATTTTATCAGAAAACTAAAACAGTTCTATAATTTTAGACATGTCGACTAGCTCCCCCTCCCCTCGTTAGACCCTTTTTCCGACCAAATTTTTTCCAAAAATTTGTAAAATTTCAGAGAAAAAAAAACAACAGTATTACTTTTCGCAGTACCTCTTTTCTTAGAAATGCATTTATGTAAAACTTGCGTTCAACTGTCTGTAACTCCGTTCTTAAAGAGCAATCTTAACTTTAATCATCTGTTAATTTTAGTATTTCTTCATCTATCTCCATAAACTTTTCTTCAAAAGTGAAAGTTTTTGAAATTGTTTTGTTGTATTTTCTGATATTAGACCAACATTAACAATTTGAAAATAAATTCAACTGTTCTTATATCATAAAACACTGCAAAACGACTATGAACGAGCAACAATAAAAAGTAAATTAAATTAGTACAGTCAAATTTTATCAATTTTTTGATAATACGAAGAACTATTTGTAACAAAGTCTAAATTCAGCACTTATCCACTGGGAACAACTTGTCATATTTTGGTACTTCAAAAATATTTTAAAGCAGACTCAGGATACACAGACAAATTAAAAAACCGCTGTAAAATTTTTCTCTAATTAATTTCTTTTTTTAATTCAATGTTCAGTATGTTCTTATGCAAAAACCAAGGAATTACCACCTTTGTCTGCCTAGCTGTTAAGTGACTGGCTTTGCTCAGGTAGTGGCAATGTTTATTCAAGACCTATCTCTTCATCCAAACTTATAGTCCGGTGCTTATTAAGCAGTCTTCTTCTACCAGGAGAAGCTCGTAGTTTCACTTTCGGAGGTTTAGCCGCCGTTAAAATGTGTCCCACAACGCCGGCAATTAAGAAGAAAGTGCAAAGCAAGATGATCATCACGACCATACCAAAATCTAAAAAACAACAAATCAAGTTTGTTTCACAACTTTACCTTTCCAGCGATATTGTTCCGACTTTTAGAGCAAGTTCACGTTTTTTTAAGACTTTAACACTCTTATAAGGTGTAGAAATCTATATGCTGAAATATGTCCGGTAAAAAAAAATTAACTGCTTCTTTACAAGATGTAGGTAGGTCAACATCGTTGGTAGCGAGTTTGAACTGTGCTTTTGTCAGTAATAGATTGTATCTTGAGTTCTTTTTCCAACATACTCTTTTCATCGTAGTACTGTTTCAGAAAACAACAAAGAAGCTTTTCTACTAAATCCCTACCACTCCCACGTTAACTACCCACGGCTACTGTCAATCAGAATTGTGTTGGTCTCATCAAATATCATCATTAAAAATGCCCAAACATTTCAGTAGATGACATTGATTCCGTACTGCAGAAAACACAATTTACCAACCTTTAAATTAAATTTTAGAGACAAGAAAACGGCAGTTAGGCTTAGTCACGAATGCTGCTGTAAAAATTTGATAGTACTTTTAAGAGAGTTAAAAGCAGTTGTAAAGATGCAATCTCAAGCGAATTAAGGAATTTTGGTTGAAAGTTCTGATGTAGATTTGGCAATGGCACATGGCATTCAGAGGTATAATAATCAATAATACCACTTCCCTCCACTCAATTATTGCCAGATAAAGAAAAGGCAGAAGCACCTCAAACTAACTACATTTTCTAATAGAAAATCAGAAAAGGCGATGATTAGAAGCCATCACATTAAACGGCACTTGTTGTTGTGTAACAGCAACATTTCCTGCAGGCATGCCTCCTTCGCTGTACGTTAAGATCATAGAAATCTGAAAGCAAGGGTACCACTTCCAAAATCATTGTTTCTTAAGTGACAACAGTATTCCTACGGAATCGGGTTTAGCCAGCTTTTGACAAAAAAAATGCTATATACATTATCGTCGGTCCCTACCTCTAGAAAAAGCAAAATTTATGTACGGCAAACTGGCCACATTTGGATATCGTTAACGAAAAACCCCTGTGGAAGCAATGTTTAAAAATTTTGTTGGGTTCCCCTTCGATATTATTTCGGGCACGTTTGATTCCGTAGCGAAGATTTTTCATCGACTTTGCTTCACAGCTTCTCTGTTTTTATCCAGTTCTGTCTTCCTCTCACGGCTGCACGTCTTCTTAGCGCTTCACGTTTCTATGCGCTCTTTTGCGAACCAGTTGCTTCAACATCTGTTGTCACTAACAAAATGACTTGAGGAGCGAAAGATGTTCTACTTTGGCATATCTTCCAAATTACATAACTTTTGTCGTTGATACGTTATCCAAAGTATCACATCTTTAAAGTCCACAAGCCTAGAGGGTTTTGCACAGCTTTTCTTGCTTCTCAAGGTTTGATTTAAAGTAGCTCTTCATCTACTTATGTGCGCTTATACGCCTTTATTTCTGACGTACGGCGTAATTTACGTGTAGCAGTTTTGCATCTGTAGCGTCGACCATGTAAATGTGAAGCGTGAAAGGGTAATTACAGAAAGGCCATTTTGGTTTTAGCAAGCAAAAAGTGCTGTAGTTCTCTTCCAATTGCATCGCAATCAATGCGTTTACTGGAGCAAAATAGCTATTTAGTAGGCATAATATACCTGCAATTGAAAGCTGCACTTTTAAATATTTGACAAAATATTTGACAAATTATTTGCTAACACATGTAAGAATGAAAAAAAAAAACACAGTTTCACTAACCTATGCCGCGATCGCCTTCTGCGTTACGTTCTCGTTTTCTTCCTTAAAAAATGACAGTGCAGTGAATCTGCTTGCTTGTATTACATTATTCAAGCCAAAAAGAATTGCAGTAGAACGCTTTTTTTATACTTTTTAACGACTTTTCGGGTTAAATGAAAGATTTTTTACTGCTGCATTGTACTTTATTAAAGGTTTTATTTTTTATCTAATTGAATTACCGAGTTCAACAGCTGGTTCATCAAATGGCACTGCTTCGTGAGGATTTAGTTTTGGATTAAAGATGACATACTCATCTAAATGCGATAAATGACAAAAAGACATTTGCTGTGACAAATTATAAAAGTTGTTAATCTAGTGATTCCAATACATTTCAAGTTACAATTTGCAGTTATTACGGAGCGCAGCTGAAATAAAGAACAACAATACTTATGAAGTACTTTTTTGTATGTCATATCGATATAAGGTTTCTTGAATTAGTAAAAGCTTTGGAACTGATGAATTAGTAAAATTTTCTAGCTTTTCTCCTGCTGGGTATTGATCAGCAACAGTGTTTATCGATACCTGGAACTATTGAACCTTATTAATAACAGTGGTATAAATATTAAGCAATGAATTATCATTTAGTAAAATTAAGATTATGTGACAGGCCTGAGTTGTGGGTTTTGGAGGTTTTGTCGGCATAAACGCCTAGTCATTGAAATCTTAAATGTAAACGGTCTAGCTTTTGTTCTATTGAAATTACCTGAGCGTCTTAAAATTTGGTTCAGTTTTTATTCTGAATGATTTTTCTAGAGGAAATGATAACGACTGTAAACAGCAAAAACAAGTACAGTAGATATTTATCTGTGGTTTAATCGGTATATCAAATTTGTATTTATAAAGCACTTCTAAGTTTTTTGTGAAGCACTTTTAAATTTAATTGATCATTTTTGAATGTACACATTGAATTGCTTATTTCCTATTGAAGTGAAGGTATTAAAGATTTTTTCTGCCAACTAATTTTTGATAATGGTTAGGATAAAATACATTTTTCACGCATAGAAGTCGTCTGTAAGCGGGTTCATCGCAGTCAGCGAGAGTTATATTTATACCTTCAAAGAATAAGATTTTTAATTATATACTAGATTTACTGTGCTTAATTGGTCTTTTCAAAAGCAAATTTGGCCTTTGTGGAGAGCATTTTATCTATTAATGCTATTCTTAATGATACTTCTAATTCGTTCATGGGAAGTTCAGTGTTCACTGTTTCTCATACTGTTTATCACATTGTTACTTGGAACAGCTGTTCAAGCAAATTTGGTTTTCTCTATTTGCAGTCTTGTTTACCTTTATTACACTAACTCTTTTTCCTGTATGGCAAAGACAGATTTGATAGTAAAATTAAGAATTTTCTAATACTGTTTGGGGAAAAAAAGCTTTGGCTTTCTTTATAAAAATATGTTAGGTGCTTAATCAGCATGCCTTAAACGCTCAATTATGCTCTCGTCTTCAGAGTCTAACCTAGATTAGTTCTTAAGTTAGATATTGTTTTTTTTTTTCATTTGTCTTCGTTATGCCAAATTTAATATGATTACATAGAAATTGAAGGTGGAATAATAAGTAAATTTGAACGTTGAAGAAATATTATTTTGAAACATTCTAAGAGTACTATTTATGAAATGAGTAAGTTTAGTTAAATTCTTCAGTTTTTGTCTTGTAAATCAAAAAGCTGTCGATATTCTCACTGTTTTTCATTTCTGTGATCTGAGGTAAATAACTAGGTTTGATCAATTTGCATTATCTAGAATTACGATTCGCTGTCGTAGAGGTTGAAAGGAAAATCAGGGGCTTAAAGCATTTTGAATGCAATTTTTAATGTGGCACTCGAGCGTACATCTTAAACTATATGTAACTTTTCACCATGTCAACAAAAGTCGCTTTTTTCCCAGTTTTCAAAATAAGCCGAAATTTGCTTACCTGGACTGTCAAAATTCATCAAATTTTCTGCTTTTCTTTTGCCGAAATTGTCGCTTGTAATAGAACCTGGGCTAATTTCGCAAGAATTTACGTTACTGCATGGTTTTACATTTCCTGTCACTTTTTGATACATTCTTTATCATTAGCGTGTTTAGCAATTTATTCACAGACTCTTGCGGTACTAGCTCTTCTACAAGTGGTTCGTGCTACAACTTTGGCAGTTGTTATTGCTCTCTTCAGTAGAGTCATTTCACAAGAAAATAAAACTTATATAGAAAGAATATACAAGTAGTGTAAAAAGAAATAAGATTTACTGTTTATGACTCTACGCGCCTCGAAACAAATACTTTTTGCTTGGTTAACATTGTCGTTTTCTACTACCTTGGTGCCAGATAAGCTGTGATCTGATGGGTTTTTCGTATAACTGAAGGGTAAGATATCACCTTCATGAAATCCAAGCAGTTCTAAAATATAACTTGTAATCGGCAGTAAATTTATGCAGAATTGCTATTTTGGTCTGTAAGAAGCTGGTCTCATTTATAAAAGTTACAATACAACATTTGCTAATGGACTTATCAAAACATAGATAGGTCTGCAAAGCATTTTGAGGATTTTAGCAAGCAGGTGTTACTCTGTTTTAACCTCAGTTAGATAAAACTGATACTGCACCCAAGTCCTAACAGCAATTATTGATAAACATCTAAAAGCTATCGTTCAAAATTTTGCTCTTCAAACTACCTACCAGTCATAACAAACTCCAGTTCTTCTTTAACAACATCTCCAGGTAAGGCAAATCCTGCTTTAGAACAGTAAGAGTGTGAAGCAACAAAATCAGCTTTATTTCTAAGCTAAAACTGTAAATGATTAAATCATTCTATATTTGTGTTCATCACGTTTCAGAAATGTTTCTGAGATAACTGGAACGGCTATATACGCGTAGTATTAACTAAAACCACTGACTAAATTTTGTGCTTTAAAAAATTATTTATTGTCAAAGTATCTTTGTTCTGCACCTCTTAACTTAAAAGGCTTTATAAAACATCTAAGCACACTTAAGGCTAGAATAAACCTAAGCATTTTTTTTGCATTTACAGTGCCAAATTTTATTTTTAGTTTGTCAAATTTGTTCCTAATTTCATTTCTCATTGTATACACTTTGTAAAAGTTTTCTATTTCTGCATTTTTATAAATTAATAAAGAAATGATTTTTATCTTTTAGATAGTCAAGCTAGATACTGAAATTTCTTCTTTCCGTAACATACATCAGAAAATATGTAACAGTGGTCGTTTGTTAACTCTCTATCGTGCACAAAAACTGCAAACGTGCTTTTCCCGGGTGTACTGTGGTCACATTGCCCCTCAGCATATTCTGAAATAACATTTTTGTACATGGAAAAATAAAAAATGATCTGCTTTATTTTTTTTTATATTCTCTACGTTCTGCAGTCCTCAACTGAAATTTTTTTGGGTTTTTAACAACAGTTTCAGGTGAGATGCAACGAGTAGTAAATGACGCTTAATGACAGGTTCTAAAACTTTTAGCCATCGCACAGTATTGAAAAAAAATTTTTTTATCACTTGCTGCGTTAAATAGGCAAAACTTACCAAATCTCTGAATAAACCCTGGTTTTTTCATCGAGCTATTCAGCGTTTTATTAAATGAGGCAAAGCTAAATTGAAGTATTAAAGTCAACAACAACCGCAAAGACATAAAAAATGTCTCAAATTGTTACTCGTTCAGCTACGAATTAAAATTTTCAAAAAGCTTTGTTTGCCGTTTCGCTCGGCAGTTGGTAACCTGTAGCAGGCGTAAATTTTTGATATAGACTTTGGAATTGTTAAGTGATAGCCTGTAAAAATCTCTGAAGTACAGTGGATACATCGACCAATATAGAATGCTAATGCATTTCAAGTTTTAAAAAAATGCCAAAATCACTGCGGTACAGCAACTAAAAACCACTAACATCATCGCAAATGTTCCTGTTCTAATAATGTAATTTCAGATTATTTTAGGTGCAACAACATTTATTTTTTAGAGACATTGTCTTAGTCAGGTTGAAATCGAAATCAAACAAAATTTATCAGCTGGCAGCATTAGGTCATCATACTTATAAATGTAAATATTTATAATCTGTTTTTAAAAATTCTTCTTTATCAAACTCTGCAAAGTATTCAAAACTTTAAAAAATTTTCTAGACAATTACCAAAGCAAAACACAACTCAGCAGTCGTAAGTTGGTCACAAATGCAGCTGTTCTAATCAGTTTGTGAACTGATGAATGGAATTTATCTATGTAAACTTCTTCAAAAGAAGAAACCTGTTAATTAAAATAACGTTCTTAACAACTTTTTGGAGTCTTCTAAAACTATCATACGTCACAATCAGTATACTAATAATAAACAAAAAAAAAAAATAACTAAGGAAAAAAAAGATGAAAATACTGTTTATCTATCAACACAGTAATTTGGTTCAACGTAAAAATCAAATATGGCTCATAAACAACAGAGATTTTGCGTAAAATAAAAAAAAGTGACAACAACAGCAGAAATATATCAGTATAAACTTTAACAACTATCTGCATAATTCGGTCCGTTTTAGATCGTAATATTCGCTGATCAATGTTATTACATAAAAAATCTTACTTTGAAACGGAGAAACAATTAACAATAATGGAAGCTGTACTACGTCTACAATTTGTATATTGGTGTAATTATCAAGACAAAGTCTTTTTTGGCTGTTTTTTACATTAGCTATCTATTCATTGAAGCTCTCATACAGTTGACTTTTAATTTAGCCACATATTCAGCCTTTAGGTTTACAACATTTAATCAAAAGCCATGTTAGAATTGACGTAATTTGGCAATTCAATAAAATTTTTAAAACTATTTCTTGATTATTTTTTTTTTCTGGTTTTTTAGTAGCATTTAATTAGCAATCAGTTGTGAAGAACTTTAAAAAATTATAGATTTCAAAAATACCATTGACTCTAAGATGTCATCTATAGCTTTAAAGACACATCTTGGTAAAAAACCTGTAAGACGTTTAGAACTGCACATTTCGTTTAGCTTTTTGCAGAAGAGAATTTCATTTTGAAACAGTAGCAATTTCTTGAAAAAACGAAAGCAGATTAACAATTGCTAAGGTGGATATCCTGCAGTTTGGTAAAGATCGTTTTCATTCAGAATTAGTTGAGGTGCGTCATACTGCGGAACACTGCAGACCGCTTCGTTTTGACCTTGCATCAACAGATAAGCACGCCTACTATAACGCTCCCCAGTGGTTCTAGAAGTTTCATAAATAGGCTGGTAATAGCCTCCAAAATTTTCAATTCTTTCAAAATTATCGATATCTGGATTTGGTAAACCAATTTTTCCTCGACTTTCCACCCGTCTGCTCCTCAAAAATGCTATTGCGGACAGGATGAGTACAACTAAGATAACGATTACAATAGGAACATAAATCCAAGAAGACCCGCCAGACACTGAAAATAAAGCGACAGATTTGTATTTGGCAAATCTTTTTTTTTAAAAATGAATGTAAGTTTCACATAGAGAATGAAATGATAGTTGTCGTACTAACTTTCTTAGCCAGCATATTAATGAAGATATGCGAACTCTTTTATTACTAACTGCTTCTTTAACCTTTTTCTTGTTCCACTGTTCTATTATCAGAACCTATGTGACGTTACTCTATCACTAATGTATTACCAAAAGTTCTGATTTTATGGCGAACTGCTTTACTAAAACTGAAGGACCGAAGTTAGTAAAAAATATTAATTTATCCACATTACACAGTTAGTTTAAAGGCACAAGTATTCTGTAAACTAACTTTTCTCTTGCGATTCCCTGTCTGCCACTTCTGAGCTTTTATCACCTAAAACTTCATTTTGAATTAATTTACAAATTCAGCACTTTTTGATTAGTTTTGTCGACCTCTGGACTGCTTAACTTTTACTTATAACAAAAGTTATTCTTAAGCATTCCCTGTAAATGACCAACTTAAATTACTTTTAATTCTGAAAAAAGTGCAAACAACTATATCCAGTATTTCAAAAATGTGCAGTGTCCATAACGATAGAAATTTTAAGACGCAAACTAAACAAATCAATCTGCTTCACAATAGTCAAATTCACCTTCTTTCTCATCTGCTTTTGGCTCCAGAGGAACAGAAATCCATCCTGCATAAAAAAGTTCTTGGTAATAGTAGATATTATTGACAACCTTCTTATTCTATTAACTTTAATTGACACTAATTTAAAAAAGCTACAAACAAATGTTATTTTTGTAGGAAAACTTTTGCTCGTTTTTTTAATTTTTTATCTTACAATTTTAAATTCACCACTGAAGACTGTTTTTAGATAATTCGGCATAAGATGTCGTGCAGTTTTCAAAGATATTGTGGCTAAAGTAGCTTAATAAATAACTTGTTTTGTTAATTACAAGATATCAAATTTGACTAATCAAAAAGAAAAAAAACACTCTAGAGCAACATATTAACTATAAGTTTATAAATTTTTTTGCAACTTCTGTTTTTTTCGCAAACTGATATCATGCTAGAATGTCATTGGTAACAAGTAACAGTTTCAAAGCAACTGATTATGAAAGACGTGGAGACAAAGAGTTGCAGAAATGCAATGTTATACGCGTCCCGCAGTAGGAAACCTCAAAAAAACAAGTTTTCAGTAACTAGTTGTCTACTCATAATGCCCTTCGACTCGTTTCTCTATCTCTGAA